AATCAGTATTGTTATCAAGTTATTTTTAAATTCCTTTGTCAGAAGAGTTGTGAACCTTTTGTTATGTCAGTCATTGATGCATTGTTAAAAATAATGGACAGATTGTTGCTAATCCAGGTAACACAGACTCACTGACTTCACTGTTCATGATAACTGTCCTGTGACCCAATCTAACAATAATAAAGATCACTGAATGTACTCTTATTTTTAAAATTGTATTTTAATCTCATAGAGATTACATTTAAAAAAAGATGTTCAGAAAGTGGACATGCAGTAATGAGCTATAAATGTGACTAAGCTGCAGAGAGTCACGCTCCTCTCATGGGGGGGGCGGTAACAGTCCGTCAGCTGTTGGGGATCTAAACCGCTCACACGCCCGGCCTGAAATAGAGCAGGTTGCTGTGTGTGCCTGTAACAGGACTTGGTCATTTCAGGAGTTTTTCTGTGTCGTCATCGTGCTCGCTTCAGGTTTCTGCTGCTGCGATCGGCCGCGTCCTTCACGAGGAGGTCGTTCTGCACGGGAGGAGCGTTGCAGCAGGGCAAGCAGGGAAGGGCACCTGACATGATCGAGGGTAAGAAAGCAAACGCACTTCCTGTTTCACATCACCTGATTGAACAGCAAGAACACAGCAGGGTAAAGAGTGAAGTAACACATGTCAAATCAGAGCTATGATGGAACAGTTTACATACATGAAGCTAACATCAACACAATGCAAATGTCATGTAATATGAGGATTATCACATCTATCATGAGTTCTTGTTGCCACCAGGTGGCGATATGCCATTTTTGAGGTCTCCACACTCTTAGCAATCAGCTGACATCTGTGGCAGATTAGATATTTATACATCTGAGTTAAAGTAAATTCTTGTGTTGTGGTGAAACATCAACATTTACGATGACACAACAAACCTTCAATGCGAACTCAAAAGTTTCACAATTCTGCATTTGGGAGGTTTTTACATTGAAGTCTCCAAAATGTATTATTTTTATGGCTCAATACACTTAAATTTAAAGACCTAGTTGAGCTTAAAATTATATTGTGAACAGAGCAGGACAACATGTATTAGGCCCAAGTATTCAGAGTTTGTTTCAAGT